ATATTTTATTGAAACACTATATTCATTGGGCAAACATCCACCCAGGGAGAACTCGGGCGAAGCAAGGTCAAATATATATAATTTTTTAACGAATGTTATCAAACTTAGTATTTAATTATATATATACTCTCTCCCTCAGGTGAAAATTCACTCGGATAAAACCTGGGCGTTACCCGCCCGGTTCATTTGATTAGTTATGTATGTTTAAATCAAATGAGCCCTGGTTCAAATAAATTTGTGTGTGTGTGTGTGTGTGTGAAATATGAAATCTCTAAAAATTATTACAAGTAATATATTGAATAGTAACATCGCGAGTGAGCAAGTTGCAAAATCTATATAAAACACTTACATATGACTTGTATAAAAATAGATAAAACTTTATGTGAAACATTATTTCCTGATAATCCGATTTCGCAACATTCCCTTTAAGTAGAGATAAAAATTTATTAATGAAAAACATATACTCTCACACTTACTTTATGTTATCTGCTTTACTTAGATAAGCCTTAATTAGATATACTTAGATATAATTTGATAAGCCTTAAAACAGGCTGCCATCTAGACCTGTTCATAGAATGGGCCAATGTTCTAATATTATAATAAGAAAGCATCATATTGATAATCATGATGCAGCAATATTGGCATCACATTTTCTGACTTCAAAATAAGTAAATTATTATGATATTTGAATATTTTAAATTCTTGGGTTAAAATCCCTTCATATCTATCCACCATTTTCTACCATAAAATATGTAAATTTGATATGGGTTCAATTTGAATAGGCTTTGAATTGCTTCTTCATTTAAACATATATTCTTGTTTAATTTATAATTTTATTTGTATTTTTAATTGAAAAGAGACTGAAAAGAAAACAAACAGAGAAATGCCTTTGAACTTTTGTTTTATATATAGAGATGACCTAGCCTCGTCTGTCTTCTGCTTGAGTAAATGTTTTTTCTGTTAGAATCTTGTTCCTACATACTGAAAATGATGGCCGGGCTTCGCTAGTGGTCTGCTTCAGTGAATATTCCCCGAAAAAAATAGTCATTTTCTGACTCAAAAATAAGTATTTTTGCCCAGTACTTGGTTAATTTTAATTTGCTTAACTCTATGTAATCACATTGTATCAGATGTAATCACATGTAATCAGCCAGATTAAGTGTGTATTGAGGTCGTGAATAGCTGACAAACAGATCAAGGAACAGGCTAAATCAATATTTAGTTGATATCTGTTCCACTAGATGGCGCTCTGCCATCTAAAAATGCTCATGTTACTGGTCAGTATATGCCTAATTCATTTTAAATATATACATATGTTGACTTGTTTATATATAGAGAGAGATATAGTGAAGAGTTTATTATAGGTCTCATATTATTATCTTATATTTTATATTACTTATTTAAAAAACACCAAAAAGGAGAAAACAAATATTTCAGCTACTGCCATTAAACAATCAGAGAGTCAAAAGAGAAGTGGGAAGGACCATCATGAATTTATAACTTAATGTGTTTTAAAATGAAGCAAGTATTTAGAATATGTTTTTATGTTTAACTAAAATTTTATCTCTTCACTCAATATACGATGACCGTTTCCCACCACTTTTATTTGACACATATAAACCTAAATATGTTAATATGTTATAATACCTTGGTAAAGGTTGGCGTTCAGCCAACTGATATATTGGTAAAATAAATTATATTTCGATCCAATATATGCCTTTTTAATTAAATAAACCTGAATGTTCAATGTGTAATTTAAAACACATCAATCTGATTAATTTAAATCTAAAGTTTTGAATGTACTTATAGTTTTCACGTACCTTTTTACATATGTGTGCAAAATTCCAACCAAATAGGTTAATCCGTTTAGAGACACCGACCTGGTATAAACATACCTAAGTATTCAATTATATAATATGGATATACTAGAGAGAGTAGGTTTTATTAGACCCCACCTTGAATATCAAACAAGCCAGACAAAACCTTCTCAAGAACAATATCCCCAAGGACCTGAGAATCCGAGCCCAACGATATCAACATATATTATATAATTATAATTGTAAATGAACCCCTGTACATAACCATCCCCCACAGTATATTGTAAATATGATGATCTAAGTTGCTCTTTTTGAGCGGCACCTAATAAAGGGATTTTGGGACTGAAATTTATTAGACAATATATAAACAAAAATTATAATTTTATGAAATACTTGAATTAATATATATACAGTAAAAAGTCTTTCATGTAAGCGATCACCTTTGTAAAATAAAAATAGAACTGCTATACTACTTCTCCAATGAAGGGGACTTCAAGATAGCCGTGTTTGTCAGGAATTCTTTCATGGGATGTTTAACTGCATTAAAAAGTTAAGTGTGTTACTGAGGGACTGTCACAACACAGGAATCAGATGGTTGGGCTTGTTCTGTTTCAGGTTCGTACAGATCAAATCTACAGATTGGACACTTGGAATTCCTGGATAGCCATTTTTTGATGCAAGCCTTGTGGTAGACATGAGTGCAGGGTAGACTGCAATATCTTTTATTTCGTTGATTATCCATACAGATGGAACATTCGTTGTCTTGAGAATCCTCCACATTCTTGAGTAGTTTTTGCATTCTTTTGTTTTTCGAGGCACGTTACAGAAAGTATTTAATTATAAATAATAATATAATTACCCCATAGAATATAAAACAAATCTCGGGATTATTGAAAGATGATGTATCAAATAATTCAGACATATTCTCTGAATGCCCATGATGTCTATTCATTTCGAAGTCCATGTTTTAAAAATTTATCAAATGTGTTAATAAAAAAATTCTGATATTAGGGTTTGCGCTTCAGCATATTAAAAGGTACTCATGCATAAAATGCTTACAAGATATTTTTATTTAATTGAAATAAAAATATTTAATCTGTAACTATGATTATAAATATTATTAAATTTTAATAAATATATGAATTTGTATATTGAAAGTAATATTTTTCATATATCTATTATATATATATTAAAAACTAGCGGATGTACCCGGCTTCGCCCGGGTTTCACCAGAGTAAAGGTTTGTCTAACGAACAATTCTCTATAAACTTATAAAAAAATAATAGATATATTTTGACAATTTGAAACTCGTAAATTTGAATATCTCCATAAAGTGAACATTTTTTCCCAGTCCCTTGAAAAATACTCGATAAATTTAATAAAATCAATATTAATTGGTTCCCTCGGTAATTGGAAGTTAGAGGAATAGTATCTTGCCTTGGAATTGTATCATTATTCTTGTCTCAATTAATTTGCCGTGTCAACCTGAATTTTGTCTTTCCTAATTTTCTACATTACAAAATCATCGTATTATCTAGAGAACATTTTTTCACGGTCCCTTGAAAAATACTCGATAACTAACTTTGACTTGTTCGCAATTAATAGGTAGAAAATCTTACTTTTGATAAATAATCTTTAAGATAATAAACTTAGTGATAATAAAACTTATAAATAAAAAAAACTTGTTATCATCGTCGCAAAGGGGGCGCTGCTTGCGAGTTAAATCTACAAATAACTCTAAGGATATTCAAGAAATTATTTTTCAGAAACCTTCCCAGTACTATACTAAATACCTTCCCAAAGTTTCATGGCGTTCGAATGAGTGGTTTGGTCAGGCATAAAGGACAGACACACATACATTCATTTATATATATAAACTAGCGGACGTACCCGGCTTCGCCCGAGGTTTTACCCGAGTAAAGGTTTGTCTAGCGAACATTTGTTAAAACAATTCTCTAAAAATTTATTTTAAAAAACATATATTTTGATAATTTGAAACTCGTAAATTTGAATCTCTTGATAAAGTGAACATTTTTTCCCGGTCCCTGTGTGCCGTGTCATCCTGAATTTTGTCTTTCCTAATTTTCTACATTAGAAAATCATAGTTTTATCTAGTGAACATTTTTTCCCGTGTCACATTGCCGTGTCATCCTGAGATAATCTTAATTTTGATAAATAATATTTAAGATAACAAACTAAGTGATAAGAAAACTTGTTATCATCGTCACAATGGGGGCGCTGCTTGCGAGTTAAATCTACAAATCGGCAAATAACTCTAAGGATATTCAAGATATTCATGAAATTATTTTTCAAAAACCTTCCCGGTGATATACCTAATAATATCCCAAAATTTCACGGCGATTGGATGTATGGTTTTTGAATCTATAGAGTACAGACAAACAGACAGACAGACCTTCAATTTTATATATATAGATTAGCGGACGTACCCGGCTTCGCCCGGGGTTTTACCCGATTAAAGGTTTGTCTAGCGAACATTTGTTAAAACAATTCTCTGAAAACTTATATAAAAAAAGATATATTTTGATAATTTGAAACTCGTAAATTTGAATCTCTCGATAAAGTAAACATTTTTTCCCGGTCCCTGTGTGCCGTGTCATCCTGAATTTTGTCTTTCCTAATTTTCTACATTAGAAAATCATAGTTTTATCTAGTGAACATTTTTTCCCGTGTCACATTGCCGTGTCATCCTGAGATAATCTTAATTTTGATAAATAATATTTAAGATAACAAACTAAGTGATAAGAAAACTTGTTATCATCGTCACAATGGGGGCGCTGCTTGCGAGTTAAATCTACAAATCGGCAAATAACTCTAAGGATATTCAAGATATTCATGAAATTATTTTTCAAAAACCTTCCCGGTGATATACCTAATAATATCCCAAAATTTCACGGCGATTGGATGTATGGTTTTTGAATCTATAGAGTACAGACAGACAGACATTCAATTTTATATATATACTAGCCGAATGACCCGGGCAACGCCCGTGTTTTACCCGATTGAATGTTTTTATTCAAATACTATTTGTTACAATTATCATATTAGTTACGTATTGTGGACGTGTATAATTGACAAACATATATACATACATACGCTGACTTTTATATATATAGGGATAATAATATAAATGAGTTTTAAAAATTGTAAAAAAGAAAAAAAAAATGCATCGGCCGGGAATCGAACCCAGGCCGCCCGCGTGGCAGGCGAGCATTCTACCACTGAACCAGTGGTGCTTATAATGCTTATAAGATGCTTATAAGAAATGGACCTATGAGGCAACGCCCGGGTTTTACCCGATTAAATGTTTTTATTCAAATACTATTCGTTACAATTATAAATTGGCGCCGTGGATGTCACTCTTGTGAAACGTCCCGCTCCAAACTTTGTGTTTGAGAAGCGATATTTTTATAGAAAGATGGTTGGCTTTTGTTTTCTGCTCGAATGAATGTTTTTCTGTTAGAATTTTGTTCCTGCGTACAAAATAATGAACTGGTTTCACCCGTGGTCTCTGCTTTTTGGAATTTTTCCCGATATAATTTTGTATCTGATAATCAAACCTGATACAGCAATATGGTCATCATCATTTTCTGACTAAAACTATATAGTTTTAATAATTGATTTATATATTTTTTTAAAATAGCTATCGTCTTCCCCGTATTTTTTTACCTATGTATGGAAATTTTGGTTTGAATTAGTGAACTACTGCGAATTTGTATACCGGACATACAAACAAACATACAAACATTTATTTATCAACATATATAGTCACGACCGTCATGGGTTCTGTCACGGATGCGCGCGCATCATCATTATGATCATTATCATTATCTAATGATAATAATAATAATAATAATTATTATTATTATATTATTATTATTATTATTATCAACATATATAGTCACGACCGTCATGGGCCGGCCGGCCGGTTCTGTCACGGGTGCGCGCGTATCATCATTATGATCATTATCATTATCTAATGATAATAATAATAATAATAATTATTATTATTATTATATTATTATTATTATCCATCCATTATATATATAGTCACGACCGTCATGGGCCGGCCGGTTCTGTCACGGATGCGCGCGCACAGGGAGGTCGCGTGCTCGCCGGCAGCCAACGGGCGCGCGCCGCCGGCATTACATCATAGATTATAAACACAAGGTAATAAGGTCAAATAAAAAAATAGTGTGTGATAAGGCACAATTTGGATTATCTACTTATATAATTGCCTTATTCTCTCTGTGTGAAGTTCACTGTGTGAAGTTCACGGATAGATTTTGGTCAGAATGGATAAAATAAAAAAAGTGTCAAGGGATGGGAATCGAACCCACGACCTTCCGCTTACCGGGCAGATGCCATGACCACTAGGCTACCCTGGACATATTTTTCCGTTCACATTTTTATTTTTATATTTTCAAGAGTTGATTGATTAGGAGATGAGGAATGACGCTCGTAACTGTATATAGAATAATCCAAATTGTGCCTTATCCTTGGATTTGGTCTTATTACCTCGTGTTTATAATCTATAATCCAAATTGTACCTTATCCATGGATATATATTTTAATAATATAAATGAGTTTTAAAAATTGTAAAAAAAAATGCATCGGCCGGGAATCAAACCCGGGGCGCGCGCGTGGCAGGCGAGCATTCTACCACTGAACCACCGATGCTTATAAGAAATGGCCATATTTGGGTATTTATTCCATTCACAAAAGCAAACGGTGACAGAATTATTGATTGTTGATGACTGATAACTGTATATATTTTAATTATGTTAGCCTAATGAAATAGTCAGTATTCCCATGGTCTCCAGCAAAGAGGTGTAAATTGACTTTTTGAAAATATGCATAATTATAAAGATAGAAGCTTCTATAGAAATAACTAAAATAAGCCGAAATAGCTCAGTCGGGAGAGCGTTAGACTGAAGATCTAAAGGTCCTTGGTTCGATCCCGGGTTTAGGCATCTTTTTTTAATTTTTAAATTTTTACTTACCGTAACTTGACACGTGACTTAACGTGACAGAATTGTGCATGACTCTGATAACTGTTAATTTGTCGGATATACAAATCCTCAATGAGGACCTAATCTGACCGAAATTTTAACAGGGGTTAGAGATTAATCTGGACTAGTTTATTTTCGCATTTTTAGCTAAGAAAATTTGAAATTTATCAAGTTCTGGGCAAAAATAGTTGTTTTTTATTCAGAAAATGATGACAATACTGCTGTATCATGCTTAATTATTAGAAACAAAATTATTTCAAGGAAAATTCCATAAAACAGACCACGGGCGAAACCAGTTCATTTTTAGTAGGCAGGAACAAAATTCTAGCATCAAAACATTCACTCGAGCAGAAGACACGATGCCAGGTCATCTCTATATATGAAACTAGCCGAATGACCCGGGCAACGCCCGGGTTTTACCCGATTAAATGTTTTTATACAAATAATATTCGTTACAATTATAAATTGGCACCGTGGATGTCACTTTTGTGAAACGTCCCGCTCCAAACTTTGTGTCTGAGAAGCGATATTTTTATAGAAAGATGATCTGGCTTTTGTTTTCTGCTCGAATGAATGTTTTTCTGTTAGAATTTTGTTCCTGCGTACAAAATAATGAACTGGTTTCACCCGTGGTCTCTGCTTTTTGGAATTTTTCCCGATATAATTATGTATCTAATAATCAAACATGATACAGCAATATCGTCATCATCATTTTCTGACTAAAAATATATAGTTTTAATAATTGATTTATATATATTTTTTAAAATAGCCTATCGTCTTCCCCGTATTTTTTACCTATGTATGGAAAATTTGGTTTGAATTAGTGAACTACTGCGAATTTGTATACCGGACATACAAACAGACAGACAAACAAACATACAAACATTCATTTTTATATATTACTAGCCAAATGACCCGGGCAATGCCCGGGTTTTACCCGATTAAATGTTTTTATTCAAATACTATTCGTTACAATTATAAATTGGCGCCGTGGATGTCACTCTTGTGAAACGTCCCGCTCCAAACTTTGTGTCTGAGAAGCGATATTTTTATAGAAAGATGATCTGGCTTTTGTTTTCTGCTCGAATGAATGTTTTTCTGTTAGAATTATGTTCCTGCGTACAAAATAATGAACTGGTTTCACCCGTGGTCTCTGCTTTTTGGAATATTTCCCGATATAATTTTGTATCTGATAATCAAACATGATACATCAATATCGTCATCATCATTTTCTGACTAAAAATATATAGTTTTAATAATTGATTTATATATTTTTAAAATAGCCTATCGTCTTCCCCGTATTTTTTTACCTATGTATGGAAATTTTGGTTTGGATTAGTGAGCTACTGCGAATTTGTATACCGGACATACAAACCAACAAACAAACAAACAAACAGACAAACATACAAACATTCATTTTTATATATATAGAAGATATCGTTTTAAAAATTGAAAAAAAAAAAATGCATCGGCCGGGAATCGAACCCGGGCCGCCCTCGTGGCAGGCGAGCATTCTACCACTGAACCACCGATGCTTATAAAAAATGGCCATATTTGGGTATTCATTCCATTCCGGATTACTCCGCGTAAAAAAAAAGTTCTTCAAATTAAAAAAAAGGAATAGCCAAAAATACTAATCAAAATGTAGCCGAAAATTTCCCTCAGGTTTATAAAAAGCGACATGCAAAATTTTGTACCAATTGGTTCAGTAGTTTTTGAGTTTATCGCGAAACAGACAGACAGACAGAAATTGACTTTTATATATATATAGAGAATAATATTTTTCCCGATATAATTTTGTAGCTGATATTCAAACATGATACAGCAATATCGTCATCATCATTTTCTGAATAAAAATATATAGTTTTAATAATTGATTTATATATTTTTAAAAATAGCCTATCGTCTTCCCCATATTTTTTATCTATGTATGGAAATTTTGGTTTGAATTAGTGAACTACTGCGAATTTGTATACCGAACATACAGACAGACAAACAAACATACAAACATTCATTTTTATATATATAGAGATAATATTTTTCCCGATATAATTTTGCAGCTGATAATCAAACATGATACAGCAATATCGTCATCATCATTTTCTGAATAAAAATATATAGTTTTAATAATTGATTTATATATATTTTAAAATAGCCTATCGTCTTCCCCATATTTTTTTACCTATGTATGGAAATTTTGGTTTGAATTAGTGAACTACTGCGAATTTGTATACCGGACATACAGACAGACAAACAAACATACAAACATTCATTTTTATATATATAGAGAAGATAATATTTTTCCCGATATAATTTTGTAGCTGATAATCAAACATGATACAGCAATATCGTCATCATCATTTTCTGAATAAAAATATATAGTTTTAATAATTGATTTATATATATTTTTTAAAATAGCCTATCGTCTCCCCCGTATTTTTCACCTATGTATGGAAATTTTGGTTTGAATTAGTGAACTACTGCGAATTTGTATACCGGACATACAGACAGACAAACAAACATACAAACATTCATTTTTATATATATAGAGATATCGCTTCTCAGCTGAGATCAAAGTGTGGCATATAATATCTCTCTATATTAAAATGTCAATATTTATTTATATATATCTTTATAAACATCCACAAATAATATTTTCTAGAAAATACCCCCTCTCTTCTGAATTGATTATTATGAAATAAATTTAGAAAACTATATGTACCCGGCTTCGCACGGGTTTTACCCGAGTAAAGGTTTGTCTAACGAACATTTGTTAAAACAATTCTCTATGAACTTATTAAAAATATATATATTTTGGTAAATTAAATTTTATTGCCCTCTATCGTTAAAATTTTACACAAATAAATTTTCTGGCAATGCGTTTCTTTTAAATCTCTACAGATCTTACTGCAATGATATGATTTAATGAATGAGAGGGCTTGGCTCATCAGTAGTGAACCCTCTCAGCGGTTTCGCCAAATTAATCTCTAGACCGCTCTACTATTGTATTGGACTGGTTTTGTTATATACCCTGCATTTTCTATGGAAGGCAGCTAAATGGTGTTTAGTGAACTATGGACATAAGCTTATAGGTCTGTAGAGGTACATACATATAAATTTCAAGGTATTGCATCGAGCAAAGCTCTTCCGCGCAAAACATGTTTTTCATAACCATTATATATTAGTAAATTAAATTTTATTGCCCTCTATCGTTAAAATTTTACACAAATAAATTTTCTGGCAATGCGTTTCTTTTAAATCTCTACAGACCATACTGCAATGATATGATTTAATGAATGAGAGGGCTTGGCTCATCAGTAGTGAACCCTCTCAGCGGTTTCGCCAAATTAATCTCTAGACCGCTCTACTATTGTATTGGACTGGTTTTGTTATATACCCTGCATTTTCTATGGAAGGCAGCTAAATGGTGTTTAGTGAACTATGGACATAAGCTTATAGGTCTGTAGAGGTACATACATATAAATTTCAAGGTATTGCATCGAGCAAAGCTCTTCCGCGCAAAACATGTTTTTCATAACCATTATATATTAGTAAATTAAATTTTATTGCCCTCTATCGTTAAAATTTTACACAAATAAATTTTCTGGCAATGCGTTTCTTTTAAATCTCTACAGATCTTACTGCAATGATATGATTTAATGAATGAGAGGGCTTGGCTCATCAGTAGTGAACCCTCTCAGCGGTTTCGCCAAATTAATCTCTAGACCGCTCTACTATTGTATTGGACTGGTTTTGTTATATACCCTGCATTTTCTATGGAAGGCAGCTAAATGGTGTTTAGTGAACTATGGACATAAGCTTATAGGTCTGTAGAGGTACATACATATAAATTTCAAGGTATTGCATCGAGCAAAGCTCTTCCGCGCAAAACATGTTTTTCATAACCATTATATATTAGTAAATTAAATTTTATTGCCCTCTATCGTTAAAATTTTACACAAATAAATTTTCTGGCAATGCGTTTCTTTTAAATCTCTACAGACCTTACTGCAATGATATGATTTAATGAATGAGAGGGCTTGGCTCATCAGTAGTGAACCCTCTCAGCGGTTTCGCCGATGAAAAACATGTTTTGCGCGGAAGAGCTTTGCTCGATGCAATACCTTGAAATTTATATGTATGTACCTCTACAGACCTATAAGCTTATGTCCATAGTTCACTAAACACCATTTAGCTGCCTTCCATAGAAAATGCAGGGTATATAACAAAACCAGTCCAATACAATAGTAGAGCGGTCTAGAGATTAATTTGGCGAAACCGCTGAGAGGGTTCACTACTGATGAGCCAAGCCCTCTCATTCATTAAATAATATCATTGCAGTAAGGTCTGTAGAGATTTAAAAGAAACGCATTGCCAGAAAATTTATTTGTGTAAAATTTTAAATATATATTTTGATAATTTGAAACTCGTAAATTTGAATCTCTCGATAAAGTGAACATTTTTTCCTGGTCCCTGTGTGCCGTGTCATCCTGAATTTTGTCTTTCCTAATTTTCTACATTACAAAATCATTGTTTATCTAGTAAACATTTTTTCCCGGTCCCTTGAAAAATACTCGATAAGTTGAATAAAATCAATATTAATTGGTTCCCTCGGTAATTGGAAGTTGAAGGAATAGTATCTTTGCCTTGGAATTATATCATTATTCT